CCTTTAACTAACACCAAATTCACTTACAACAGTAGATATATCTGTATAACCTTTTACACAACATTCAGATTGTCTGGTTTATTCAAACAACTAACACAAAGACTGTATCGACAGAATGCGGCAGGATTCAGCCCAGTTCTTCATCCTCTTTGCTTGATATAAAACACAGGTGCCTGTTAGTGCTTCTATGCTTGTCTGTCACTTAGGACGGCTACATGTTGTAAAGCAGTTTTTAAAAAATCAAAAACAAAAAGTAACACAACAAGCTTCTTAAAATAAAGGATAGACAATCCCCTGAAACATCCTCCCCCTCCTAGAAAAATGAATGACCCCCAAATGCTGCTTTTAAGACAAATAATCAATGCATTTAAGCATGTGCAATATGGGCAAAGCCTTTAAAAGATATTCCTTTGGAAATACATGTTCTGCTATACCAACACCGGTAGCATCAGCTCTGAGTTAGCTGTAAATCCCATTTTGTACCATGCTAACTTCATTGTGCTAACAGTGTCTGAGGTTAAGCACTACATATTCCCTCTGCTTAGTATGCGCCTGTTGAAATGGCTTTTCTAAGCACTGACAAACAATCATTTAGTTAGCGGTTTACTCTTTGCAATAAATAATTCTTACCCAGCGCACTGCTGAGAGAAAAACTGACTGGGTATCCATGCACGTGCACTCAGTAAACCACCCATAATAATGTGGGAATATAATTGGTTGGTCTGGATTTCGCAGGTTGAGTAGAGGGGCTGTATGGCAGGGATAATCTGTTCAAGCAGGAATAAATGATGCTCACTGACTGTGCCAGACAGGTAAAGGGTGACCAGATCCCAACAAACTAAATGTGGGACAAGCTCAGTGTATGTGTGGCACAAAGTGTGACATGTTAGCAATGCTGGGAGGCATTCAAATATTTAAATCCAACTTTCCAACTCTCTTGCTCAGTAAATGCAAGAAAAATAAAAGGAAGCTGAAGTTTGGGGCTAAAAATGCTATGCAGTACTATTTAAAGTGGGACATCTGTTCACCTGAGACAGGGATGAACCAGGAGAAGATCAGTAGATTGGGTAATCAGCACCAGACCCAATGAAATAGTCATATAATATTTCCAGGGAGTGGCGTGTATGTGTGTCTGCCATCACCGTGGCGCTCCACATTTATAGGTAATCTTAGAGTAATCTATTCTCAATCCTAAATAACGTGACGGTTTGAAGGCTTTCTGAAACTCACCCTTATGTTAATAATTATGTGCCTCTGGTCTTTTAACAAAGGCTCAAAGCAATATAGCTATTACAATGCTATTCTAAAGATATAGATGTATGTTTCTGTGTATGTATTATCCATATGAGTGTTGGTTTTCCATTGTTCAGCTAAGTTAACCAAACAGATGGTTAAAGGCTGTTGTTGAACACTGATAATGATGGTTTTTTGATGGCAATTGATGGCAACAGATGAGTGTTACAGAAAAAAATATGCTTATTTGCTTGTCCTCCTGTGGGTAAAATGATAAAATTGGTATCACTCTTTCACAAAGCTACTACCACCAAGTCAGTTAGCTGAACTTACCTGGCTTTTTCCAAATGTGACAGTTTATTAGCACCTCAAAAGCTTTATCAATTCTGATGAACACATGTGAGTGTTTGTATCAAAGCACTCATCTAACTCTCAGCAAGAGAACAAGCAAACCGATTTCTCATTCTCAATACCTTTGAAAAACATACTGCAAGTAAGCAAAGCGCTGGAAATATTATTGGCAATATTCATTTGATGTTCCAACTATGGTAACTATGTTTTGATTGCAAGAGTAAATCCACCTTAGAGTCAGATCTTAACTCCTAGGCTGTTGTTGTGACTTTGGAAACACGAAGGCAAAGTTGTGCAAGATCGTAAGTTAAAAAATATTTAATCGCAATAAATATATTTAATTGTAAAGGGGTGGATTTTCTCTGAGTGTAAAAGATCCACTTCTGTCAGGTGTTGTTGGTTTTAAGGTTGTTGTTTTTTTTCTTTTTCTTTTGTTTTATTATTGTGTCAATGAATTAATTAACTGAGGAAAATAAGCTTTAAGTGGATGTGCCCAAACAAGCTTTGGGTGAATGTAAGATGACAAGCGACTCTATGCAAATCACAACAGAACTGAATGTGAATTTGTTGTACTGTACCTTGGCTTAACTGTGACAGCTCTGTATGCAATACAATATCGTGGATCAGGGAGTTTTAATGATGACCCTCATATGGATAAGAAGCTGAAAGCTATACAATCCAATGGCACACGTTGTTGCTCTACATGTAAGTCGTGTTAGACTTAGAGCTTATTTTGAGAGAAGTGCATGTTATGTTATATGGCAAAAGCCCAAAGAGTACACTTTAATGTAATGCATCTTTTTTAAAATTGCGTTTTTCTATTTCTTTTCCTTATAAGGATGTAGGGTGAATGGGGAACATCCAAAGGGGAGCACGGAGCTGACTGGAGCCCCTGTACTCGATCGGACCTCAGAAAACCTAAAGACTCAGAAAGTCATACTCAACCGCTGCTCTCAGTAGAAAAATACAGCTGTGATACTCTTGCTCGCCCTCAAATGATGTCCCCATTTCAACCTCTAATTCATGCATACCAACTCTTGATCTCTTTACTACAGAAAAATAAAGTTTTGGATATAAATCTGTCTCGTGCTGTTGGAAGTGATGCATCACTAAAGTAGATCTTTGACCTCACTGCCTCCTATTGGGCAGAGGGAAGAAGAACAATGAAAACTCACCATTTCTTACCCTAAAAAAAAAATCAAAGATTTGAAGATGCAGCAGTGGCGTATAAACACATGAACAGGGATGTGGATAAGAAATTCTCAGTGCATTGTGGGAAGTCCGCCAACAGCCCAAACCTATAGCAGCATAACTAAGGGATTGTCCAGGATCATCTGATGAAGTAGTAACTATACATTTCATCAAAGAGGACAGCTTTAAACCTAATCTTAAAAGGAGGGCGAGTCTGCCTGTTTCACAGGAGGGCTCTGCCTCTCATTCTACTATTAGAAATTCTAGGAACCACAGGTAAGCCAGCAGCCTGTGACCAAAGTGCTCCACTGGGATAATATGACAGCAAAAGACATGATTGGGCCTGATTATTCAAGACTTAGACGGATTTTAAATTCAGTTCTGGATTTAACAGAGAGCCAATGAAGAGAAGCCAAAATGGGAGAAATATGCTCCCATTTTCTAGTACCTGTCAGTACTCTCAATGCAGTGATCTGGATCAAGTGAAGGTTTATCAGGGGTCTTTTAGAAAAACCAAGGTAAAGCTATTCAGAGTAAGCATTTAGTTAAACACTGTGTTTCTGACATTTAAAGTGCCACCTATAATAACTTTAATAAGTGGAAGCAACAATATGTTTATATCCTTAAATTATCTTTTAATTTCTGCTTTAAGGGAACCTTTTTACATTCTGTGATTTTGATAGCTTTCTGGTCACAAAATGTGCTCATAGCCTGTGGAACACCATTAAATCTACATAATGGTTGCATAAAACTGGATTAAGTTTTAAAAATTGTATCACATTGAATTATGGGAAGTGTAGTATCTGGAGGTTTGTGGTTTAAAGGGTACAAACATTTTTTTAATTTTCTCTCCAGACATTTTAAAGTTAAAAGTCAGATGGCAGAAATTTTAAATAATAAGATGAACATACATGACCTGATCCCTCAGAGCACTCAGGCTTCAGATGGTTCTATTTTTTGGTAACAGCAGAATAACATTTTAATAGCTTTGTTGTATTCTCTGTATTCTATATTACTAATCCACACCTATTTATTGTGCACAACTATAGTGGATTTTAAATCAAACGATCAGTGGTTTTGCCAAAACAATATGTACTGATTGTTTAGGAATAACAGCCATCCCTATACACACAGTTTGTACAAAGTCTCCTGCTTTCAGAGGCTCAAAAGTAACTTAGCTTACTTAGTAAGTTAGCTGAGGCTTGGTCCTTCTGTCAAATTATATAATTAAAAGTATGAACTTGATTCCAAGGAACTTTTAATACCAGATCCAAAGATGTGCATATGTAAGTGAAGGAGGCCGAGAAGTTGCCAAAATAGTAAATCACTGTGAGGAGATTTGCTCAAATGAGCCGTTTACATGTCTGATGTTAGTTCCACCAGCAGATGTCAGTAGTGACCTGCATGTGGAATTAAATGTTCAAACCTCGGGTCAGATCAGAGCACAGCAGCCTCTGCAGACTCAGGGAGGGGTGGAGAGGATACCGGCTGACAGACTTCTCTCGTTAAAACAGGTTCGACATAGACTGTTTTAATGACCCCTTTAGTGTCAAACACGCATAGATGCACTTGTGCCACTTCTATCATAGGCTGTTTCCTGTTTTGGATGCTACTGCAACTTTTTTGAATGTGGAAACTGTTATTAACATTTAGGAGATGATTTATTATTATTATTATTATTATTATTATTATTATTATTATTATTATATATAAAAACAACATTTGGTCGGATAGTTTCACTACAAGCACTTTTAATCAACTGTTTGCCGCAACAACAAAAGAGCAATAAAAAAAACTCTTAATTCCAAAGACCTCCAAGTTGTAACTCGAAATTAAAGTATCGTCACATCACATCATCTGATTCACTTCATAGTGAAGGGCAAGTCTTAATGTTTACCTTAAAAACCCAGAATCAAAAACGAAAAAAAAACCTTGATAATAGATTTTTTTTATTATTATTATTTATTTATTTTTTGTAATATGCAAAGTAAATTTGTCACTCAGTCACATTTTACACCGACTTTTGCTGAATTCGATTAATTTTCTATTGGGTTTTTTCACAAGTGTAGATCGTCGGTCTTTCTGTTGGCTTCTTGAATGCACACTGATGTGTAGCTCCAAGCAGAGGATCACTTTTCAGATTCACCGCCAGAATCCACAGTGACTTTAAATATTCCATGAACTGGGAGTGTCCTGCAACTTGCCTCTCTCCATTCATTTCTGTGAACAGTGGAACTTCACATCGCGACACGGAGCGGAGCGAAAGGGGCGAAGCAGCGATGTAGGAACTTAATCACAATCCGTGAGGGCTTCGCTCAAACCTTTTATCCTTCGTTTCATTTACCTGCGGCGCAGTCTAAAGTGTCATGCCCCACACCTTGCTACTACCTCCTCCTTTCTTTCAGTCTGCAGTGCATTTCTGTGCGCAAATGTCTACGCATATGCACGGCTCTGAAAGACAAAGAAAAAGAAATCAGTTGTGGCTTACTGACATCTGCAGCGTCTCGGCCCTGTGATTAAAGCCTAAACTGAAAGGAAAGCATAGTGATAGATTTCTACTCTCTAGGCGGCTTTTGTAGCTCCACATTGCGCAAAGAAAAGGCGATCACCAGGGGCGCACAGGTGGGTGCGCTCTCCAAAGGTGCCAACAGATCTGTGTGCGCAGCTCCACCGCTCAAACAGTGTGACAATTTGGACACAACTGGTCCATAAAACACACTGTTCGCCTAAAACTAACCATCGGCTTAGCTGCAATCCATCGTTCCGCTGTGTTTGATCAGTATAGGGAGGATGGATTTGTATGCACTGTAGTCTTGGGAGGAGAGGAGGGACATGGGCGGGGCTGAGGCGCCTCTCGTTTCCCCTCCATGCTTAGCGGGGCAGCAGGGCTGGAGAGACCTCCGGGGAGCACAGTCGCCAGTCCAGCACGGAGACCCGCCTGGCCAAAAAAACGCGCCTCACACTTGCCAGGATTGCCAAATATTCCTGAAATATATACCTGCTATTTATGGCATGTGGCTTGTAACTTTACTCCTGCTGTACTCTCTCCAAGAAGGTAAGAGAAAAAAAGAAATGCTTGGGATATTTCACACCATTCATACTGAATGCTGGAGTTCTTCCTTCTTTCTATTTATATTTTTAAGTTGGATGAAATGTACTGAAGAGGATTACGATGCATGTGATGGTTTGGATGATTTGTGGCTTTTGCTTTTTGGTGCATCATCGAGTATTTTGTAATGAGTAATTTGTTGAAAAAACAAAAGATCATTTAAATAAAAAAAAATGCATAAAGCCTCCGCGTTGAGTAAGTAGAAAATGTGTGAAAGTAAAGGTGTGAAGTGCTTTTTTTTCACCTGGATGTGTAGTGGTTTTATGCAGCGGACCCTGATCTCGCAGATGGTGCTGATAGCACGGATTGTTTTCGCATTACCAACTCCAGTTATGAATATGTAAAATGGCTGAATAGGGAGAATGAGGTGCAAATATAGAGGGAGGGTTGAGATAGAAATGAAAACATGGAGCGGCCTGCAATTACATAAATTGATTGGCAATTTTCGAACACATTCCCCACAAAATGTTGCCCTCTTGTAAAGTTTTTTTTTTTTTGAAAGGGGTTGGATGCGCGTGATTTTTGAAATCTTGACGCTTTCATTGTGTAGCATTTGCTAATTGCAGCTGTTTTGATGGGCTGTATTTGACTGCGGGCGCTCGCTTCCACAGAGATGCTCTCTCTTTTTTTTTCTTTTTTTTTTCAGGACGAGATTTTAAAGGGTATTAATTGATTTTCCTGTGTGATGACAAATTGTTCCCATTTTAAAATGGATGACAAATAAAAGGCCCATTCTCCTAGAATGGCCTTATTAGTTTAATAGGTCTCCACCCACATAAAGGCCATAATTAAGTGTATTCAGATTATGTTCCCCCTTATTTAATTTATTTGGTCCTTTTGAAAATTCCCCCTTTTTAATTCTGTCTGAAAATGTAAAAAGAAAAAAAAAACCGGAGTTGCATTTGTTTAAATAGATTCTGGGGGTTTTTCCCTTTCTTCTTCAGTATATGCAGCAAATCCCTGACCCTATTGCAAAGTTGATCTTCTGCTATTGCAGTGCATTATAATAATCCCGAACAAATCTGAGTCCAAAATACCAAAATTCAACACCATCTCTAGATGAGAGCATTTTATAGGCCTTTGTGTAGCCTATCTATTTAGAGACTTGTTTAAACATTGTTTTTCCTTATTAGCAGTGGCCCTGAGAAGCTGTAAATTTATTTAGCAGAAAGTCCGGGATACGGTGGATTGACAGGAAGAAGGAATATGGCCGTTCTCGGTGCAAACGATCTCAAGTAGGCCATTAGGTCCATTTGCCATTTTTAAGTTGTGATATTTTCTGTCTTTCTATTTTTTTTAGATTAACTAATTAATTTATTGAGGTTTTTTTT